ATTAAGGAGAAGTTGGAATCAAGAGCTATTTGCTTACCATTTGTGCCCACAGCACAACAAATGGCAGATGTTTTCACAAAAGGGCTTTTTAAACCAGGGTTTGACTCATGTATAAGCAAGTTAGGTTTGAAAGATATTTTCCACCCAACTTGAGGGGGAGTGTTAAAATCCGAAATCTGTATTTATGGGAAACATATTGTAGGAAAGATTGTATAGCTGTAAATCTTCTAGGAAATCAGTGATTATTCTAGTTTCCTAGTTTAGCTCTAGATTTCCTAGAAGGTTTCCTATTTTCTAGGATTAGTTTCCTATTTTTCTAGGTTTCCTATTCTTTGTACTGGCTATATGAAGCCGTGTAACTATTCAGATTTTAATATGAGGAGTTAAAATATTTTGCCCTCTAAACGTTTATTTTGAAAACTTTGAAATAAGTCCATTCATAAAAACTAATGGCTCCTGGAAATTTATCAAATTCTTTCCAGTAAGAATCAATTTGTTCTTTTGAAAAAGATTTTTTTGATAAGATGAATAAATTTTTTTGACTCCTGGAGTTTGATCAGTCTTAAATTCACTCCTTCTATCAATCTTAGAACAAATAACATTACATTGTTGATCAAGTCCCTTAGACTGAGGAGGAACCATATCTGATAAAGTAGGAGAAGTAGGAGGTTCTACTTCTTTTTCTTTATCAAATTCTTCAATTTGATAAAATGATTTTGGAATTTTTGGATTAAAATTGACTTTTTTTAAAGAGGAAGTTGAAAATATGGCTGATTGAATAGAATTTGTTCTAGATCCATTATTAGATCTAGATGAAGAAGATCTTTGAAACGTATTTGATGATGAAGGCTTATCAAAGATAACTTTGACATTACCATCAGGAAAATATATAATTTGTCCCCAGTCACTTTCTCTGCAAGTTGGGCTCATGAAAAACAGTTATTACTATTTCAAGAGTGAAATGGGCAGACCAGTGAAAGAGCTTGTAGAGTTCCTCGAGTACTTTACTTACAGCTTGGAGCTAAGGATTAAACCAAGGTACCAAAGGTTACAAAGCAGGGGGATTAGATGTTCTCTCTCGTGGTTTCTCAATTGTAGCGATATGAGATTTGAAGAGAGATTGAAAGGTGAATATATTGAGGCAGAGAGTGTCGGTCCAACATTAATTATGAGTGGCAAGTTGGAGCTTCCCAGGAGTGAGATTGTATCAGAAGAAGAGTATGAGAGCGATGATGAAATACTTTATAGACACTCTGTTTCCTTGTAAAATTTGTTTATCGATGAATCATTTATAATGTCATCAATATCATACGATTATGTCATCTCTATTACCCTCCACTCAATTTTTTTCTGCCTTGATCGTCCATGTGGTGTTGCTGAAGCACATTATTTACTGGGATCCCTGATTTCCATTGTCTGTCTTTAAAATTTATTGCATGGTCCTATGAATTTGTAAAATGCTTCAATGTACTATTCAATAAGTCTGAAATGTTAAGTTTCAATTGTGATTCGTAGCAGATGTATCTTAATTTGTTTATTCTCAGACTCAGCATATCAACTTATTTTTGTGCTTAAGCTTGGGCTTAGTCAAGATAAATTAATTTTTCACCCACAATTCACAAAGCTCTAGGATAATAACTCATTCCAGCATCTTCAAACTAAGAAATCAGGAAAAATTCAAAATTTATATGACAATATTCGAGAACCATTCATTTTTAACATAATTTTTGTCATGCATATCAAAAATTTATGTGGAGTTAAGATGGACCCTAGTACAAATACAAATTTCAGCTGCAGTCAGATACAGGAAAAGAGGTAAATCTGAAGTGGTAGAAGGCTCTTACTGCAACTAGTTGGCGAACTTCCATTCACAAGGCTGCCTGCTCCAGAATTGAAGAGCAGAAACACAAAAACATCCAGGGCTCCCAGGAGAAAACTAAGTATAAGTACACAAGCAGCTTGAAACAAGTTTATTGAGCCTATCCTTTTTAATTTCGACTATCACAGAGCTCTTCGATAATAAAATCTATTAAAACATCCAGAAGCTTCTTCGAATTGTCCAAATCATTTGAATTCATGACTGAATTTTAGCATCTCTCAAATGTTTTATAACCAATTATGCCTCAACAGATCCAAAATGCTTTAGAGAATAATCTTCAGGATTTTCACATTTAGTGCCTTGAATCATTGATATCTTTATACTTGTCACAAGTAATTATTGATGATGATGTTGATGTGCACGGAGAGAGATCAAGGATGCAAACAGGCTTGGTTGGGCTCAAGCTCACCCTTCCGTTCAGATGGAATTTTGGAGAAATTGTATTTCTTTTATGCATTTATGTGTTTTTGAAGGAAATTGGTTGTCACCAAGTTATTTTTTGGTTTGCGTGTGTATTTTGTATCTACATGCTGTTTTTTTTGGATATCATTTCATAAGTTGTTTGCTAATTGTATCATGTTCTGCCATTTTTGGCATTTTTGACACGTGTTGATGAAATTAATGTTAATTGAATTACCTAGTTGGAAACATCTGTATAAACTAATAATAACAGATGCATTTAGCTTATAATTACTTAGAAGTTAATTACTTGTGCATATGTAGAAAATGTCTATATGCGAGTAGCTGGATTTGTATTATAAAGTTTGTTCATTTTATAGATAGGGTAATGTAATTCTGATGTCCATTGGTCCTATTTTTACCAAGAATCTTGTTTTGTTTAGGGTTGTGTCCTACAAAAATAGGGTAATTTGGATGGTCACTATGTATTAACATAGCGAAACTAACCCCTCCCTGAAAATAATGTTTTGTGGATGATTACTATCACGTTATATATTCAAGGCTGAAATATATTTTCAATGCAGTAGGTTAATGGAGGGAAATACTTGAGATGTTGAGTCCTTTTTGTTGAGTATCTCTGAACATTTGTAAGCTTATTTGCTTGAACTGATGTGTGAGACTTACTGATATGGGTGCGGGTTTGATTGCCAGAAAGTGCAAGGACATGTACTGATTTGTAAGCTTATTTTCTAATGACTTGAAGGTAAAATTATCTGTTCCAAGTGAATTCAGTCAAATGTGTACTGGTCTTTATCACTGAACTTCAAGGACGAGGTTGCTATTATACTCATAATTGAAGGTGGAACTTCTACATTGAGTATACGTCAGTTAAGTGCTGTCTTATGGATATAAGAACAACAACAATAGATTAAACTTTTCAACCTATGTGAACACCCTGGCTGGAAATGTTTTACTTCCTTTTTGGTGTAGCTATCTTTAATTCTTCTTGGATCGTTTTGAAGAAAGCAAGAGTTCTCTTATAGAAATGAAGAAGTCTTGTTTCCCACTCCAAGAATTAATTTTCATGTCGGCAAGTAATTAGTTCCCTAAATTATTTGCTTCTTTTATCTTTAATGGATGAGTTATTTGATGCAGGATCACGTACTTGAACAACAATTTTCTGGAATTTCTATCACAATTTTATTTATTAGACCTTTTGATGTCTTAGTTTTTCCTGAATGGTTTTTCCATAACTAGACAGGCTTGCTTTAGTTTTTTATGAAGCCTAACACAAATAGAAATAGGGAAGAGAGTGAAGAAATGAGAAGAAAATTTAGGGGGAAGAATATCAATTTTTTTTAATCATCAATCGAAGTCTAGTTGCAAATGTAGTGCATGTTTGTCAAAGCTTATAATTGTTTAGAAGTAGTGGGTTCTAATGAATGTGCGGTTACAAAGTGGGTAAAAGTTGTGGGTTGTGTAGGTAAAAATAAAGTTTGACCAGTTTAAAAACGATAATAAGTTTTGTTCTGTTTATTAAGTGTTGAGCTTAAATATAAAACAACTAAAACTATTAAATGATAAAATCCTATCCAATAAACTACTTCAATTTTATACAATCAAACTATATCTTTAATACTCATTTTTCGTTTTAGTTTGAATTGCTTTTGTACATGAGTGAGATTGTCCTTTGTTTTTCACATTGCAACCTTTCTGTAATTTTGCTGACTCCGCTGTATATGCTTGTAGCATGTTTGGTAAGGAGGATTTGATACTATACTGTACCAAGAAAGAAAAAAGAAGTTAAAATCTTGTTTATTATATTGTCATTTTCTAATACTGCTTACCTAACATACAGTTGGTGTTTAAACGATATAGACCTTTATCTGTCTGTAAAGGTTATTGACAAAAAGACAGAATATTGGGTACTGACTTCTCATCACAGTAATGCTATCTGGTAGGATCTTTGGGAACGCAAGTCTTTTAAGATCATGATGGCTTTGCTATTGAATTTATATTTTCTCCCTTTCCATGCATAT